GAGTCCATACAGAGCACTTAGACTTGACTTTAGGATTCGTCTTCCATTGTAGCAGGAGAAAGGGGTGTTAGGATTTTCCAGAGAAACAGAACCCATAGAATATTTGTGTCTGTCTAGGAAGAGATTGAGATAAAGATTGGCACAGCATTATGGAAGTTTGCAAGTCTCAAGATCTGCAGGGTAAATCTGCAGACTGGAGACCCAGGAAAGCCGATGGGTATTAGTTCCAGTCTGAGTCCAGAGGCCTGAAGCCTGGGAAATTCACAGCAGAGTTCTGTAACAAAGACCAGCATCCAAGAGGAGCTGATTGTTTCAATTTGAGGCTGCAGGAAGAAAAAGATCCTATGATCAGTTCAAGGATGTCAGAGGGGAGGAATTCTTTTTTATTCAAGAGAGGATGAGTCTTTTTATTGTATTCAGGGCTCCCGTGAGCTGGATAAAGCCCACCCATGTTAGAGAGGGCCATCTACTTACTTTCTTAGCCTCTGATTTCAATGTTACTCTCATCCAAAACCACCCTCACAGACACATTGAGAATGTTTGCCTAAATATCTGGCTGAGCACTCTGGCCTAGTCAACTTGGCACAGAATAAATCATCACACAGGTGAAGGACAGCCATGACGATGGGTCATCTTACTGATCTGATGTCAAGGGGGGTGAGGCAGCTCTGTGATGGTGCAGGGCCTTCTAGATGAGAGGAAGAAGTGGAAAGGAAGAGAATGGAGAACGTTTGAAAGGACTGTTGGGAACTGATCATAGATGGCTAGGCAGTAGTAAGAACTTGTGGGGTTGGAGACAGCGTGTTACCTGCCTGGTATGACACCCTCAAGCTCAGCGCGATGCCGGACTGTATGGAGAAGGCAGTCTGGGGATGGTGCCAACCCACTGGGCAAAAAGCCGGCAGGACTAGGAAGTCACTATGAACTGAAGTCCCTACCGAAAAATCTCAAATGTTGGGCAAACAGGGGTCAGAGTTTGAGTTTAGTGTTTCCAGGAGGCAGCCCTTGGGGTCATATATTCAAATAAGCAACCTTCTGAACACAAAAGTGTTCGATCAGACTCATATCTGATCATTTGCCCACACACCTTTCCTTGTAGCTTTAAGCTGTTCTTATGATAGTAAAGCTAAATTACCTGTTGGCAGTAAATTTCATTTGCCTGCTTTCTGTTTGTTGGACTGCTATATACTTCCTTTAAGTAATTGCTGCCTACTATTTATATTTGTTTCTGGTTTTCTTTTTTTCTTTCTTTTAGAGAGATTTTTGCTATAGGGCGTGTGCACTCACTGGAAAGACAGAGAGACAGAAAAAGAAAACATTAAATCACCCTCCGGGGGAATGGCCATGTTGCAATCCCTTCTCCATTTTTCTCTTAGGATTTTGGCCACGCATGCACACATGCCCCACGTGAGTTTTCTCTCTCTCTTTTGTTTTTTCTCTTTTTTTGGGAGAGGTTTCTGCTATAGGCGCGTTCGCTTGCCAGAAAGTCAGAGAGAGACAGAGAGACAGAAAGCAAGAAATCACCCCCCAGGGGAGGTGGCCACGCTGCAATACCCTCTCCTCCATTCTCCTCTCAGGATCTTGGACATGCACGCACATGGGCCCAGCGTGAGTTTAAGCCACCAGGTCCGGGACTTGAACCGTGGTCAACTACGTGGGAGTCCAGCAACATAGCCATTAGGCTAACTGCTGGTCCCACCCCATGTGACTTTTAAACTGCCAGATCTAGGACTTGAACCATGGTCAACAGTGTGGGAGTCCAGCCCTGTAACCATTACCGCACCTACTGCTCCCTGTTTCTGGTTTTCAATCGGGGTAGATGTTTTTTTCAGTCTTTTAATGGAAAGCATATCTAAATAACAGAACAACTGAAAAAGCTCCATTTTAAATTTCATTTCTTAACTGCTTCCTCCCCTTACAGAAAAAACTACTTTAATACCACATCTTTTTCTTCTTAATTCATGATAGGGTGCATGTGTTTGCATATGAGAGCAAAGAGAGGAGCACCCTCCAGAGAGAGAAAGAGGAGGAGGAAGGCATGAGCACCCTCCACAGGATGTGGTCACACTACAGTCCCCTTCCTCCGATGTCTGGGTGACTGGCCTCAGATTTTGAACCATAGTTGACATGTGGGATCTGGCTTCTCTTTAGCAGCCCATTTCTCATAAAACTGGCCTGGTGGTTAAGACAGCTAGATTCTTCAGGTCAGCCACACAGTTCGAGTCTCAGACGCAGCGACTTGAGAAGCATGCTGGACATGTGTGCACATGTGCCCAAAATCCCGACAGGATGAAGAAAGAGAGGAACAGGAATTATGGCATGACCATGCCCCGTGAGGGTGCTTTCTCTTCTCCCTTCTCTCTGTCTCTCTGGAGAGCTCATTTGTCCGCTAGCAAAAATTAAAAACAAAATTCATGGTGGGTACACATTCTGTTCATTGTTCAGTTTGTTTCAAAATGGGGGGCGGTTAAGCATTTTTTATTTCTGACAACTTTATTCCTTTTAGTTCAAGTTACTCTTCTGATGCTCTGGATTTTGAGACTGAGCACAAATTGGACCCCGTATTTGATTCTCCAAGAATGTCTCGCCGTAGTTTGCGTCTGAAGACATCACGTGTCACTGGTGATGGCCAGGCCGTGGATGCTCATTCCTGCACCAGCAGCGTTGCCTCCCTCAAGGACAGAGAGACCAGGTAAGCACTGCTTGGCTTTGTCTTCAGGTGGTTTCTAACACCAATTAAAGCCAAACCTGGAAACATTTTTAACCTCTAAAACAGTGTGCTCAGGCCAGTTTATGGTGTGATGTTAAAGGCAGCTGGATCCCATGCGGCCAACTGTGCTTTACCAGTCCTGGACTCAGCAGCTTGAAAAACATGCTGAGTGCATGTATGTGCATGTCCCAAATGTTGAAAGGAGGATGAGATGGAGAAGAAGGGATTGCAATGTGACCAGTGTGACCATTCCCCATGGGGGTGTGCCTTTTCACTTTCTCTCTCCCTTTTCCTCCCACTCCACTGAGAGTGCTCATGCCTGCTGACAAGTTTTTAAAAAGTTGTAGTTTTGCTATAAAGACTGAGACTGATTCTGGAATATATGTGGATTGTCTGGGGTTTTGTTCTGCAGTTAAGGGTTTAAGAGCTCTTTCTTGTACCAAGTCTTTTTTTGTTTGTTTGTTTTTTTAAGAGAGATTTTTGCTATAGGGTGTGTGCACTTGCCAGAGAGACAGAAAGCAAGAAATCACCCCTTAGGGGCGATGGCCACATCACAATCCCTCCTCTGTTCTCCTCTCGGGATTTTGGGCATGAATGCACACATGACCAGTGTGAGTTTGAAGCTACTGGGTCTGGGACTCCAACTGTGGTCAACTGTGTGGGAGTCCAACGACATAACCATTACACCATCTGCTTGTCCCATGCACCAGAACTCTCTCAAAGGATGACTGATGTCCAGTGATCAGGATACACTCTTCGAACAGTGTAGAGTTCATGGTCAGAGGCACCAGCTATGCTAAGGCGATACAGAAACCTTGGCTTTCTATCATCTACTGTTGCTACTCTCTGCTCGTGTGGTAGTTTTCTTCACACTTCTTTGCATTATTCTATTGCTGCCTTTGAGCCCTACTCATCCCTTGACTAGGGAAAATCTTGTTCCATTGCTCTGTGTATTACTAATACCAATACCTACCTTGACACTATCACTATCTGTTAAGTGCTTATTTTTTTCCTTTTTTTTTTTTGGAGAGGTTTTCGCTACAGGGCACGTGCGCTCACCAGACAGACAGACAGAAAGCGAGAAATCACCCCCCAGGGGGGATGGTCACGCCGCAATCCCTTCTCCATTCTCCTCTCGGGATCTTGGGCACGCACGCACACGCGCCCGGCGTGAGTTTTAAGCCACCGGGTCCAGGACATGAACCGCGGTCGACTACGTGGGAGTCCAGTGACATAGCCATTACACCAACTGCTGGTTCCATCAAGTGCTTTTTTTTTTTTTTTTCCCCACAGAAAAATATGGAACGCTTCACGAATTTGTGTGTCATCCTTGCGCAGGGGCATGCTAATCTTCTCTATATTGTTCTAATTTTAGTATATGTGCTGCCAAAGCGAGCACTCAAGTGCTTATTTTTTATTTTAGCGACCATAGCCATTACACTAACTGCTGGCTCCTTTAAGTGCTTATTTTTGAAGGCTTGGCTTTTATCATTGATGGCAAATGCGAGTGCACACAATTTTCTTTTCTTTTCTTTTTTTTTTTTTATAAATAATTCATTAAATTAAATTAATTAATTAATTAAAAAAATTTTTTTTAATTTGACCAGAGAGAGAGCAAGTTGAAAGTGAGAAAGCAAGCCACCAGGTTTGGGACTAAAACCATGGTCTGCCATCTAGGAGTCCAGCACTTTAACCACTGTGCCACTTGCTGACCCCCACAATTCCATCTTTATCAGTGATCGGGAATTAAGATGTTTATGTATATGCAGTTACTTGTTAAAAAAAGGAGAGGGCCTAAATTTATAAATGATAGGCCCAGCTGCAGTGGTAGCACAACACTTTGCAATGCTGAAAACCCTGAGCAAGATCAGGGTTTGGTTTCTGATCTGTCTGTATGTGCTGGGTGTGCCCATGATCCTGGTGACCGGGAAGGCGTGGGAGAGGACTATGGCATGGCGCCTTGTTGAGAGTGCTTGTCGTCTTCTCTCTAGCTTTGCTTTTCATGAAATAGATAATAGACTTTAAAAATTCTTACGGAGTTTTTTTTAATTTTTAGGTCATTTTAGTTTTTAGGTTATTTTAGGTGGTAACCACTTTTGGATCAGGGGCCCAAAATAATCCCCAAAAATATTTTGGGCTTACATTTTAAAGAGCATTCTTGGACCTCAACCTAAAAATTCCCTTTTTAGATTAATTATCCTTGCAGCATAGAAGATAAAAGAAAATATTTAAAATGCTATGTTTATTCTCAGCTAGAAATTTTGTATTGGGAAAAATTCTAATCCTTTTGTATTTACTTCCAAAAATCTGTAAGCTTTTTTTTTATTACTTTCTTTTTAGAACAGCAAAACAGCACAGAAGTATAAGCAAGCCAACTTTTAGCCTCAACCATATGTCAAGGAAGGTCGTGTCCTCAGCCGTCAGCCAGGGAAGCACCAGCAGTTTGCAGGGTGCCACTTCTCTGCAGCCTCCGGTGCTGGACGAGTCTTTGATTCGCGAACAGACCAAAGTAGACCACTTCTGGGGTGAGTTCCTGGGAGATGTGTGTCACCTTCTCCACTGCATGGTTATTTCTCAGGTTATTCTGGGAAGAAGGAAGGGGACAGCTAGGCTTTGTTTCCATGTTACTGGTCAGGAGGAGCACCCGTGAGGTTTAAGGCTCATCTTGAGGCTCCATCTGCTGTTTCATCGGGCTCCGTTCATGTATGACTATTTGTTGTGATGTGAAAGTTTAGTAGTACACAGGAAGTAGTGTGAAAACTCTTTTTCTAAATGTATTTTGTAGGATGTTTAAATTGAGACAGTGTAAAGATTCACCAGTGTGTTTCCTGAAAGCTCTAAATAACAAGGTAGCCAAGATATTTTTGAAACATCAGTGTGGAGGAATCGATGCCAGGAAACGACACTGCTGATGCACTTACTTGACAACAGTGTGTTCCACATCCTTGCTGATGGAGATATGTGATGTGCACAGTGGGAGGGAAAACTTCGATAAGAAATGCAGGGTGCTTGTGTATGTTCCGTTTATGTTCTAACTGGCCCTTTCGAAACAACTAGAAGGTCCGGATTAGGCTCAGACATGGTCATACAGGCTACTGAGACACTGTGTTCCATAGACTGGGATGATGTGCGAGGTGTGGGTTTGATTCCCAGTCCCACCTAAAGGAAAGATGCAGTGGCATGTGCCTGTAATCCCAGGGATCTGGGGAGCAGAGGCAGGAGGATGGTGAGCTCAAGACCTGTGCAACATAGTGAAACCCTGACTGAAAAAGAGCTGGGCGTGGTGGCATGTGCCTGTGGTCACAGCTGCTAGTGTGAGGATCACAATAAAGATCTAGGTTTTTTTTTTTTTTTTTTTTTTTTTTTTTAAAGATAAAAAAGATTCCAATTAGTTCCAGAACTTCTGTGTTAATTTTCCAATGCACTGGTATTCCATGTGCATTCTGTTTTTCCTGGTTAGCGAGAGCATCCCCAGGCAGCAGAGAGGTACACATTGCTCGTGCTGAGGCCTCTGCCTCCCTGAGTTAGTGTGGAGAAAATGCGCTTTACTGGTTCTCCTTGCACTTCCAACCCAGCCCAGAGGGTGTATGTTTGTATTTCCTCCAAAGATGTGCTTTCACCATGAATCAAAAGATAGTGTCTACATATATCTGGAGAAATGTCCATTCATTCTGAGACATTTTAGGAACTAAATCTTAACTAATGCTATAAGATTGATCTATTAACCATTGTACCCTTTTCCTTATTTATTTATTTATTTTTTTGGTGGGTTTTATTCTGTTTTGATAAATTGAGCTCAACAGCAAAAATGTTTGTGTATGTGTGTTTGTTTTTGTTTTTAGGTCTTGACGATGATGGTGACCTCAAAGGTAATGATTTAGTTCTTTTTCTTCCCCCCACTTTTTGAAGTAGAAGTACTAGTTAGGCATCTGCAGAGTGGGACCAACCAGCTCCTTCTACTTTTTGGAAACTTTAGGTGGAAGTAAAGCGGACACTCAGGGAAATGGAGACTTGGGAGCAGAGGCAACAGAGGCCACAGCACACAACGGGTACACCTGCAGGGACTGCATCATGCTCTCTGAGCGCAAGGACGTGCTCACTGCACACTCCACTTCCCACGCACCACTCTCCAGGGTGTATTCTAGGGACAGGAGTCAGAAACGTAAGTCTCACTCTTTAAAAGTTAGAAAGATTATTTAGTGTCTACATTTTCCTTTTTCTTTTTTATAGACCTCTGTGTCTGTGCTATTTCTGTTATAGACTTGACTGCAAAATTATTCTTTAAAATTTTAAGAAATTCACCAAAAACTGTCTTTGTCCCACTTGTCTTCTTTCAACTAACATTGTATGTAGTTAGTATTTTTGTACCTAGAAGTATCTGAAATTCTGTAAATGGAGACTACAGGTGAGCAAAAGAAAATTTCTACTTCAGTTAAGAAACTCTCGGGGGCGCAAGTGGTGTGGTGGGTAAGGGTCCTGGACTCCCACATAGCTGACCACAGTTCAAGACCCAGACTTGGCAGCTTGCTTTCTCACTTTCCTTCTTTGTCTCTCTCTCATTCCGTCCCCCTGGTCAAATTAAAAAATGAATAAATAAATAAAGTTAAATAAAATAATTTAAAAAAAAAAAGGAAACTAATGAAACTGTGCAGTCACTTTCAGATGCAATCCTTTATCTTTACAGAACAGCCCTGATATTTAGGCATATTTAAAGAATAGCTTTATGATTATACTTTCACCTCTACTACAAAAAGTGTTTATGACTGTGTTAGAGTGAGGAAATTATTTTCTTTGACCACCAATGTGGTTATAGGGACAGAAGGGATTTCAGGTTCTGAGAGGGGTACACAGAGCCCTGGTTTTGTCTGGAATGACAGCAGTCATTGCAGGGAGGCCTCACATGGTAGTCCCTGCTGGCGACATAGCAGAGGTGGGCTTCAGCATCCTGGCTCCATCTGCTGAAACT